GTCTTTTCAGGAATCTGTTACCTAACAGCACTTTACTGTAATGATTCAAATAAAGGCAGTAAAACAAATTTAATGTTTCCCCTTTCCTTCAACTACTCATTATCATGCTAACCAACTTTTGAAATATGGCTCTGATTCTAGGCACTTTATACATGAGAACCATACAGTTTGAAGCCAGTTTGAAAGCAATTGGCTTTTGACCTTTATCATTAGTTGGAATAAGGAGCAGAGAAAGAAATGTCAGACCTTCTCCTGTGCTTATATTATCAAGACCTGTATGAAAAATTGTGTAGGATGCCACACCAAAGCAGCTAGATGATCTTTCTTCCTGTAGATGATTTTTACATATTGTCTGTAATTTGCCAAATTGCATTTTGCTTTGAACATCTTACCCCCCCCACCCCCAATGCCATACCCATTGTTGCCATGGGGGGGATTTAGGAGATGGAGACTGGGACCCAATGCTGAGGATCACCCCTGCTTTGGACTTCAACCCTTGACTTGATTAATTTTGCACAATCTTTTCTGTCAAAAGGAAGAAAGGCTGCCTTTGTGCCAGTTATGAATGGCCTGGGGTAGCCATAAGCATGGTATTCCCCTGTTTAGTTGTCTAGCCCATAACCCTCAAGGGCTTCCTGTTTCTCTCCCCAATATACTCTAGGGTTACCAAGGCCAGTAATGAAAATTTTATCAGAGGCATTGATTCTTGCCCCTTTATCAGTTAGCCCCATAGAATTAAATTCTCCCAATTCCCTGATCCCAGGCTCTCCTTTGACCATGATTCTGAAGACTGTCCCCTCCTCAGTACCCACAATCACCTCAGTCCACCCAGGTCATTACTCAACCTCCAGTAAACATTCCTCCTCTCCCAACATCCTCTACTTCATTCCCTCCTCCCCCAAAGCTTTCTTCATCTACTACCTTCTCCCCCCTTATTACTTCTTTGTGTCCTTATTGTCCACTCCCTCTTCCACATGTCCCCGTCCTACTACCCCCACCTCTACAAATCTTTTGAATACTGCATTTAGCCCAGCCAAGTAGGATCAATTTTTTGTGACCACCTCTACAGCACCTTACTCTGACAACACTCTCCTCTTTCTGCAATGTCTCCAAAAACAAGTAGGCAAAGTTTCCTTCTGCAGCTACACCAATCGTTCTCTGACAAACCCATTCCTGCCTCATCCCTCCCTCAATACTTGTACCAAAACTGTCTCCATCTTCCTGACAAACTGCCCTGTTTATGACAAGGATTGGTTTGAATGTGGAGAAGACCTACTTGCCTGCCTCATGAACTACAATGCAGTATCAGTACAATGCTACACCATTCCCCCTAGAGGCTGCCATATTGGTGGAGAACCTCCCTGACTTACCATACCAACCTCCTCCCTCATCGATGTCAGAATTGCTAGTGTCAAGGATACCCTGCCAAACACTTGTGCCTAACTTAGTCATGATCGATCAAACTGCTCTGCACAATCATGCATATGTGCCAGTTGTAGGGCTCCCATAAGGTACTTTATAGGGGCTGCCCTACCTACAAACTTGAGTCTGAGGTGGCAAATCTCATATTCAAATTTGGCCTAACTTAAAGTGAAGCTAGATAGGAAGCACACACACAAGATTTTTCTCTTACTGCTTACTCCAGTACTGTTCTTTGCTCTGCCCCTCCCTCACCCTCTCATAATGCTTCTACATCTCTCTCAGTATCTCTTCCTCATTCCATTTCTATCCCCTCCCTCTCCCAGTCAAATTCTTTTGCTACTCTAAATCCAGACAACCCAGTCTCCACAATTATTCTGGACACTCCAGTCTCTACATCCCCTGTACTCCCCACTCATCTCATCACACAAGGCAAGCTAACCATTCCACCCCATCTTCTACCACATCAACCTCTACTTCTGTCCTCTCTTCTATCCTCCCCTAATCCTTTGCTCGTTGTTGTTATGGGGGGGCTTAGGAGACAGGGACTAGAGCTTAATGTGAGGGATTGACCCTAGCTTGGACATCAGCCCTTACCTCAACTAGTTTTGCATGGTCTTTTCTTCTCCTCCTTTCCTTTTCCTTCTCTTCAACCCCTTCATCTGTCCACTTATCCAAATCATGAATTCAGCTTTACCCTTTTCACCACAATACTTTACCATAGTGCTATATGACCTTTCATGTCTAGCACATTTATTTGTTTTAACCATTAACCATTAACCATCTTCTCCCCCTAATAAGAAAACCTTTGTTCCCAAGATCTCTCCAACCAACATCACTTCAGAAACTCTTGAAGACATTCAAACTATCTGATTATGACCCAAGAAAACATGCCTACGCCTCATCCGTCATCCAATCTCTCTGCTCACATTTCCTCTACATTTGAAGTAACTGCTGACATTCATCCTCCTCTTATTCATGTAACTCCTACACTTTTTCCTCCCACTCCCTCCTAATCCATCCCATTCCCCTTTATTCCCCATTATCTCTTCCACTTTCCCATGGATACACATGTGACTCTTTGTCAAAACAAACCCCTTCCCTGGAATTGCTCCCTCCTGTGATCCAATTGCCCTTAAGCATCCTTTTCTCCTTATGATAATCCTTAAATTACCCTACAGACATCCTTGCAGAATCCCATTCTCCCTTAACAACTTTGATATAATCACCCACATTTAATCATCGTCTACCCCCCCTTTTCACTACTACAGCTCTTTGTAGTGCTATATGCTGTTTGATATCTAAAACATTTATTTTGCTTTGTAACCATTAACCACTTGAACATCTTAGATGCATGAAACAAAACAGCCACAGTATAGTAGGAATACTAAAACATGGTGTTTAAAGACTTGCCTAGACTTATCATAAAAGGATCCATTCATGTCCCAAGAACCAAACCTGTGACTGGCACCAAAGTTGATTTAAGTTCTTTCCAGACAAATATTCATATTCTATATTCATTTTAATTCATTTAATGAAGTTTTCTTTACAAATTAGCCCAAAGTCAATGTAAAGGAAACAAACTTTGCAAAATATCACTTATATTTGTACAATAAAAAAGAACATTACATTTATACATAACTGCAAATGCATGCAAGCATTGCAATTCAACTGATTTCAAAGGACAATGATGATGCTTCTAGAAAAAGACATGAGACATAAATACTGGATGGTATAATGTAAACTGAAAATGATTGTTTGTGATGAAATGCAAGGTGCTCAAGTTGATGCATTGTTTCTATATACCTATAAAGAAAACAAAAGTCAATGTAAAAATAAAAAATAAAAGATAACTATGACATTAACAGTAAGAAAACTGTTCTACAAAGTAATCATGATCACCCTCACCATGACTATCATAATATACAAAACCAAGGATTTACATATAAAATCCATGTTGCTTAGATTTTCCAATTCACCTCAACCACCACCCTGTAAAAAAAAATAAAGTGTGCTTGATGGAGATCACTTATTTCTTTTAGGACAACTTTTGTTTATGAGATACTGAAAAGGTTTATGATTTCCTTCACTAGAAAAACATGGGTCAGTGTGAAAAAGTTTTTTTTCACAAAGATGTACTGAAATGGCCTTTGTAGATTGGGGTAAGGGGGGTAAGGAAGAGAGCTTTGACAGACACAAGGGATTCGTTAGACATTTAAAAAGGAATGAACTCATTTAAGAAGTTGGCGAGATTCCATTAGTAGTGAGTTGGTGTGAATTTTAAATGCAGACGTTATCATAAACAAAATACACATTTAAGGCAACATATATTCTTACACAGCTTATAGAATAAACAAAACTATTGGAGTCTGTCACTTGTTAAAAGAATATAGTGAGAATCCAATTAGTACTTTCTAATTAATAATATGTGTTTTTGTATAAGCACGCATCATGTGTACATGAATGTGTGTTTGTGCTTGTTTGCATGTTGATTTGTTTGTTTGTGAGTGTTTGAGTGCATGTGTGTGTGTGTGTGTGTGTGTGTGTGTGTGTGTGTGTGTGTGTGTGTGTGTGTGTGTGTGTGTGTGTGTGTGTGTGTGTGTGTGTGTGTGTGTGTGTGTGTGTGTGCGCGCGCGCGCATGTGCGTGTGCATGTGCGTGTGCACGATTGTTATGTATGTAAGTAATTACAAGTGAGTATGTGTGTGTAAAAATGAGGAAGTGTAAGTGTGAACCCCCCCCCCCCCCCAACCAACCAACCAGTTAACAGAACCTGTAACTGAAATCAAGATGGCATACTTTGACCTGTAAATGCTTTACATTTGTTCACAGCCACAAACAATGCTCCAACAGCTACTTAGTAATTAAAGTAAATTATTACTGAACAGTTTTCATTCATCAATATGTGCTACATTTATTTGTTTTATAAATTTATATAAAATTTATATATAGATCAATTGCTCTTTCCTCATCATGGCTTCATTTACCTTTATACTATACAATGGCATTCACTGTGATAAATCTAGTAGAGATATGAATGCAAATGAATATCTTAACATGGCAAAAGATGTATTTGACTGATTTCAATGTATAGCTGACAGAAATATAATCACACTGGTAAAGTACATCTTGTACACATTAGAATGTAGAGTAGGACCTATGTTTTCATGAACAGTTAACAAGAAATGTTTATTGCTCATCTAGTGGAACTGAAATATTACAAAGATAGTACATATATAACTTGAGAATACATTTTAGTTAAGTGTATGTGTAGGTGTCTGCAATGTAGATTTAATGAGACTTATAACCATTCAACTAAAAGGCACTATCAATGCAATATTGCAAAATATTCAGCACAGGTAGATATACTGCAAAATTCCCCAAAAGGAACACAAGACAATTGTCTGATCTTAAAGCATGCCTGAGAAACATCTATTAACACTGTTGGAAGAAATGAACTATTATCCCATTCCTCCTTAAAAGAAAAAAAAAAAAAGATAGTGGTTGTTATTACATTTCAGTTTAGGGATTTTGTTTCATTTGCTAAAATAAATACAAATAAAAAAGTATTTTATAACAAAA